CTATGCTTAGAAAAATAATAGTCATATAATAAAATGGACCAAAACTTTAAAATGTATATTATTTAAAAGAAAAGTCTTAAAGTTAATACCGTATGTCCTTGAAGTGTATATATGAGCCTTCCTTCTAAGAGATCCAGAATCTTAAGTGTACCATCTGAAGAAGCCGTGATGAGATAGTTACCCGAAGGATGGAATGACACACAATTAACTCCGCCACTGTGAACTGAATTGCAGAAAATGAAAGCAAAAAGTTCAGAGAACAATTCTTAATTCTAAAGATGTCCCTTTGCCTTTTTAGCAATACTAGGTTGAAAACAGTAATAAATTAGGTGCAATGTATCCACAACACCAAAATTCCATATAGCTCACTAGGACAAACAATGTTGTATGATGCAAACAGGTTGGCATCATACAACTTAAGCCTCCAGCTAACGAGACAGAATAGCTTTAAGAATGAGAGTGTGCTGTGGAAAGACGATCTTCTTAACCACATAACTATAAAGTCTTCAGATATATTACTAACAGTTGATTACCACTAGCCTTAAACTAAATTTAATAACCAATTAGTGGCTTGGGACTAAGGTAAAGAGTGTGGAGATATATTTGACAGTGTTGCCAGCTTGAGAATTCACTTCTGGAAACCACCCTCCCAGTGGGAGGCAGTATAACACAGCAATCAAAAGGTTTTACAACATAGTTTGTAAACAGAAAGACCCAAGTCAGTTTTACCGTTTTTTTAGCAAGTTATTTACCTTTTTTAAGACTCAACTTCCTTATCTTTAAAATAGGGGTAATAATACTACCTCTTAAGGCTGTTATGAGGATTTAGTAGTGTCTGCTACATGGTATTATATTTCCTGAGAAAGGGAAATGTGGATTTAACAAATCCAATAAAAACCAAGAAATCATTTCATTCTCTTTTAGCTTCATACATAGGCACAGTAGGACATTGTTTTCTACCAATTATAGTATCTATGTATGCTCACATAACTCTTTCTATTCAGAATTCAGAGTCAGTTTCTATCCTTGACTGGTCATATAATAATGCAGATAGCCAGAAAGGGGCAATCTCACAGTGACTTTTTTTCTTTTTACAGAAAAGGTCCTGGCATATTTTTAAGTTCCCTCCACCTCCCTCACCACTCTGACACCTTTCCAGCTTTCCGGTCCACGCTGTTGACTGGGGCTGACTGTTCTCTGGTCAAAGGCAGCCCATGACTCTTATTAAGAGGGCCATAAAAACAGAGAAGGATACACTGTCAGTTTAAGAGTTTTCCAGAGAAGCCCATGCAACAGCTGCATATTTCTATTATGGAAATTGTTACCTTGATAATGCTGAAGTAATTTGTTCACTCTTATATCCCACAGTTTCACAGTGTGATCAGAACCTGCTGAAGCTATGTATGTACCGTTAGGATTAAAATCCACATAATTTGCAAACCTACGAAGAAAGAATGGGATAGTCTAATATTCTGATTTCTTTATCTTCATTTTTCTTTATTTAAATTTTAATAGTTAAATGTTTCCTTAGGGTACTAATCCAAACAAATGCAAAGAGAATAGACTTACCCTATAGAATCGGAGAAGTTACTAACACACTGCTTATTTGTGGTATCCCAAATTTTAATAGTTTTATCCTCACTACATGATACAATTAGTCTTCCATCAGGTGAAAATCTGGAAAGCACAAGAAAGATCATTTTTGTGAAAGGCTCCTGATGCTTCACACCACCCCTACCCCTATCACACACATGCAAGTCGGGCTATACACATGGAACACCACAGAGACCAGTTACCGTACCATGCAGCAAAGTCATTCTGCAGACAACACCTTTCCAAGTAAAAATAAGCACAGCGAAGGACCCTGAGAGACCACAAAAAAGGTCCAAATATACTGGAGACTAACCAAGTTTCTTTTTTCCTTTTATTCTTTTATTTAAATAATTTAATTTTGTGGCATATGCTTGAGGTCTCTGATTCAACTCTGCTGTCCTTCCAAGATAGTACCTGGTTGTGTTTTTTTTTTTGCTGCCATTTTAGTACCTTTTTTTAGTAAGTATCCTTTATTTCTTCTTTCTATTTCTGTCATTTTCCATGTTATTCATAGAACCCAGAAGAGCCTCTATTACTCACCCTACCAACTCTGTAAAGAAGCCTTTTGGAAGAGAAGGATTGGTGTGTTGAGAATTAACATTACATGATATCACCAGCAAGAGAAGAAACGCCCCAAGCCTGTAACTTCCTGTACTTGAGGAGGCCAGAAAGCTCCCCTGGCCTGAACATAGGGTGACTCACTTACAGAGCTGAAGTTCCTTCACAGACACACCCATCACCTACAGGTCCAGTTAAAAAACAAATGAGAAAATTCTCAGACATCTTGTCTACTGCTTTTATGCTCTCACTTCTTTTAAGATCCAACCCTAGGTTCTTTATTCCAAGTTCATTTTTAGACTAGACAAGCAGAAGAACAAGAATTTAAAGAAAATTTTAGACTATTAGGAAACTATGAATAGTATCTTTGTTATTAACAATTTAGCAATAACAAAAACCAAAAAAAGACAGATTTGGGTCATAGACTGATGATGTTTCAATTTGTAGTTTCCCACTACGCCCAGATTACTATAAAAGTCATCAGTTAAGGGTGTGGATTATAATGGAAGGTTTTTGTGCTTGCTTACTCCTTTCTCCTCCCTTCCAGTTCTTAAGGCTAACCTCAAAATAATTCTTACTGAGAAACTTTGAATCTGGCATTTATGCATTCACCAAATTAAAAAAAGGACACAGAGGCATAATTCAGTTCTAAGCAAAATAATCTTTAAAAATATCTTCCATGCTGGGTAGTTCAGCTTGATTTCATAATATAATATTCTATTAATCTTTACATCTAGGAAATATGTGAGAAAGATTCAGATATGAAGGGCAATATTATAGAAATGCTCCAAATAGATGAAACTTATTGTACGTAGACCACGGGGAACAAAAACGTACTCAGTATCCCTATGAAAATAAACTCTGCATAGTAAGTAAGTGCAAAGGAATTAAATTGTGTTTCTTAATAAGCCATCCTTTAAAAAATTACCTAATGTGAATATTTTAAATGATAAAAATATTTCTAAGAGATGACCTGACTCTTACATTAAGAGAACAATGATGATCATATAACTTCTAACTGGGTTATTAATTTTAAGACTGGTAAGAGGGTATAAAATTTCCACTGAGACATTAACAGATTTCTAAGTCTCAAATCAGTGCTATCCAACCACCCTTTAAAACTATATCACACCAAGATGGATATTACATTAGTCAATAGTGACTAATGAATCAGCAGACACAGATTGTCTACAAAGTCTGTGGGAAGTTAGCTACTGAGGGAAGTTAAACTACTATTCAATCCCTTAAAATGTATTGGTACTCATTTGAGAAAATGAGGAAACTCTTG